TCTCATCGCCACATTTTTCGCTCGCACACAGTTTTCTTCGCCTGTCTTGCCCCTCTCAACATCAACGTTCGCTCCAAGTGCTCGGCGCTCGTCTGGGATTGGAAGTTTCCAAATGCAATTTTGCTGCCTTGAGCTTTTCGTCTTATTATCAAGCTGCCGTTTCTCTTTTTTTTTCTTGTGTTTCTTGCACGTTTTCTCCTATTTCTTTTTTCTGTTTTTGCTCAGTGGGTGGAGACCACGATGCGCCCATCTCTCTCACTCACTCACTCAATCTCGCTCGCTCGCGCCACCTCTGCCTGCCAGCCTGCCGAGCTCTGCTGATTTAAATTTCATGGTCTCCTCAATTTTTGCCAAGTTGTAATATTAAATTAAATTAAATTCCCTTTGCATTTTTCTTCCTCTTTTTTTTATCATAGCCTGGCCTTAAAGAATGCACTAGACAAATTTTTGCTAACCGTTATTACACGTCTCCCACCCGTTGCTCTTATTAATTAATTGAGGAACTTTAAATTTGCAATTGGATTATCATAAAGAAGATGTTCTTAGCATACAATTTGATTCATATTTTCAATATATAAGAATATTATTTCGATTTGTTGTTGAACTGTTAAAATGTTCAGGAATTATTTTAATTGCCTTTGAAATTATTAATGAAGGAAAAATTTAATAATAAAATGTAAAAAAATATTTCTTGTATGTTATAATGCAAATATTCACTAAATATACAATACGTGTTCTGATACATTTGTTAAAATAAATATAATATATTTTACAATGAAATTAAAATAAATTTATATTGATCCAAAAACCAAAATTTATTCAAACTTCTGCAAAGGAAACTTATATACGAATTATTACCTTTGTTTATTTTTAATTTATATATAAATAATATCAATATATGATTTCTGTTAAACTTGTATCATCCAACTTTAAGAAACTCTGAGTTTATTAATTTTATTAAATATATTTTACAAGTTTTCCTCAATTCTAGATCTCCTATTCTTGACGTTTATCTCCTTGAACTTGTGTATTAAATCACTTCAATGCCATTTTGTTCATTTCTTTCAACGAATCCGTTTTTGGCAATAACACCCACCCACACACACACTTACACACATACAAACACACACCCATGTTCACTCACATTCACCTGCAAATAAAATAGCAATTTATTACTTTTAATTGAATTTTCAAATGAATGCAAAGTCTGTTCACTTTTGTCTGTTCTGTTCAGTTCAGCTCTTTTCTTTTTTTTTTTTTTTGTTGGCACACAAATTTTGCATTAGCGCGTCTTAAATTTAAAACACCTTGGGCTGCGCAACAACTTTGCATTGAAAATTGAAAAGGCAACAACAAAAATCTCAAACCGCAAATCAATCAACGTCTCATAAATTTGTCAAGACGGCGACAGTTAGACGAAAGCTGCGAAGCGAAAGAGGACAAGAGGAAGCGAGGACAAGTGTCGCTCGCTCTCTGCCTCTCTCGCTCTCGCCAATGCAGCTCAGCATTTGCGGTGGGAGGGAGGGGGTGAAGTGTGTACAAAATATGATCAGCTGTTTTGAAATGGAAACCAGATTAAGTGCAGCATCATCGTCGTCATTATTATCTTTGTCATCGGGCCACAGCCCCGCAGCGGTGGCAACAACAATATCCTTGCCAACGCCAGCCAGCCTGCCAGCCAGCCAGCTAGCCAGCCAAAACAAAAAAACAAAGCAATTTTTCATTTTTTGCTAAAACGGCGGCAACATTAAAACGAGCGCCGGCGTCGACGTAGCAGCAGCAGCGCCAGCAGCAGCCGCTCGTATTTGCCGTTGGCTGCCCAAAAAACAAAAATGGCGACCGGGCGCCGCGAGCCGGTTAACCGAAAAAAACAAAAACAATTGGAAAACGGGAGCAACAAAAGGCAAAAAAAACTAAAAGGACGCACAGGCCAAAAATGCGTTGTTGAAAAATTGCCTCGAAATATGTGTTAACTGCTTTTTAAACTGCCACGAGGACGACGACACGACGACGGCGACGACGTCGTCGCCAGCAGCAGCAGTAGTAGTAGCAGCAGCAACAACAATAACAAGYAGCAGCAGGATATGCATTTTGGGCCGTTGAATTTATCGGTGGGCGATTTATTATTGCACACAAAGTTCACGGTGCGAACAGCTGTTGGTGTTTGTGTTGTTTTTGTAGCTGTTGTTCCTGGCAGGATCATTGGCTAAGTGGCTGGATCGCCATGACGCCTGGCGACGGCGACGGCAACGGCGACGGCGACGTCGTCGACAATGACGACAGCGACGGCGACGTCGCTGCAGCTTTTGAAGGCGTTACCTATTTGACTGTCGTTGTATGTGTAAGTGCTTCTCTTTTCGTATGCCTGTGTGTGCGTGAGCATGAGTGTGTGTGTGTGTGCAAAGAGCGCAAAAAAATTGAGCGAAAGTTGAGCGCGTTTTGAAGTGACGGACAAGCGCAAGCAAGCAAGCTAGCGAAGGCGAAGGCAATGCCCAACAACAAGCGATAGCGTCGTCTGGAGTGGCGGCAAAGACTAGAAAACACCTGAAAGCACTCACTGACACAAACACGAARCACGTAACGCAGAGCAGCAGAGAGAGAGAGAATACGCTCAACCCCAACCCCAGAAACCACCCAATGCCCAATGCCTGCGCGCACAGGTGGAGCGGCCAAAGAAGACTGAATGGCAAACTGATGCAAACTGCCACTCACTCAAGCGAAAATAACAAATGGGATTGGTTTTTGCTGATTTTCAACGCACGCACAGCGACGGCAACAGCAACAGCAACAGCAGCGTCGGCAACGGTGACGGCGACGACGACGAGTGTACTGGCAGCAGCAGAGAGAGGCGATGCGACGCTAGCAGCGGCCAAAACCTATAAGCCGTCTCCTTTTGGCCAAAGCCAAATAAATTTCAAACGAATGAACGAACGATGAGCGAGCGCCAACGACGACGACGACGACTACGTCGTCGTTGCGCAAAAAGAGTCGAAAAACAAATGGCAAAACAAAAACAAAAGCAAAAAAACACACATACACATGCACATGCATACATACATATAGCAAAACTGAGCGCAGTAGAGTAGCGCAGCCGAGGCATGGCATAGCCAGATTGTGACAAGTGTGTGTATGACAGAAAAGGCGTACTAACAAATCAGTCATCATCCTTTGCGCTCTGCCTTTGGGCCCCATTTTGTAGTGCGCTCACAAGAGCGCGCCTGCGCTCTCGCCGGGCAATTCGCCGCGATTACAGCAACAAAGCAGCCAGCAAGCGCACACATAAATACACACACACACACGCACGCACCACAATTCGCCGGAGTCGAATGTGTTTGTATAGCCATCGCACTCGCACTGCTGGTAAATTTATGAGTCTCCGCGTTGTACAACCTTTTTTAATGGCACAATTGTTGCGTCGCCGCCGTCTTTGCGACTGTGTGTGTGCGTATGTGTGAGTGTACGATCGGGCAGACAGTGGCGTGCAAGCGTGCATGAGCATGATTGACAGTGTGTATTTGCCTTCGAACCGCGTACGACGTGCTTGTGCTTGTGCTGTCTGTGTTGTGTGCGAAGCGAGAAGCGAAGCCGAAAACGCCGAAGCCGTCGCCAACGCCGCAGCCGTTGAGAAAAATTATTATTATTACAGCTATTACATAGCATTATTATTGTTATTGTCGCACAACAACAGCAACCAGCAACAACTAAATCAAAAATAATAATAATAATCATAACTGAACATATTTTGGACGCCGCCAAAAAATTTTTCTCGTCGCGATCTCCACGGTTAGCCAAAAATATCAAGGAAAAACAAAGAAACAAAAATCAAATCTCAAATAAGCAAAAAGCGCGCGCGTCTCGTTGCGCGACGTTACGATCGGTCGTTACGTTACGTTACGCGGTACGCAGCAACGTTAACGGACTTTCGTCGTGTTGCCGCTGCCTTCGCCGTCTCAGTCGCCGCCGTCGCGTTACCGTCGCTAAAACCACATTTTGCAACATTTTCCCATTGCACGCGTTTCGTTAGGAGCAGATTCCAAAAACAAAAAGTGCACTAAATGCCACTATAAACTGTAAACTGTAAACTGCAAACTGTTAACAGTTAGTTGATGTTCTTCGATTGGCTGCTGGATTGACAAGCTTTTGGTTTTTCATAGTATATTATAGTATGTAGAAGCAGCTGTGATAAATAGTGCGCATATTATACGAAGCAAGAAGTATACGACATACAAAACAAAACAACAAAACAAAACGAATACAAAAACAACAAAATATAAAAACGGAGCAACAACAACAGCATCTTCAAGCCAAACAATCTGAGAGGAACATTTCGAAGTAAACGAAAAATAGAAGACCAAGCAGAAGAAGAAGAGGCAGCTGCAAAAGGCCCGAGCAATGGATTTATGACAACAACAATAACCCACGAGCAGAGCTAAAAGGCAACAGCAACTGCAAACTATGTTGCCTGGCCCACACAAGCAGCGACTACAACAACTACAACAACAGCAACTAGAAAGAAGAAGAAGAACTACTACAGCAACGGCAAACCCAATATGAAAACAAATTGTATACGATTTTTATAAACCGCAAAACAAAAACAAAAAATTTATATAACTACAACAAATTATATGTAAATATATATATACATATGTATATATACATAAATATATGTATACAAAACAAAAAAGATCTCCCGCTAATAATAAAAACGCGCGCGTAACTACAACAACAACAAAGTATACCAGAAACAACAACAACAACAAGAAATTAAATACATAAATCTAAGCAAAGAATGTAAAAAATCTAAAGCAAAGATTTTAACAAATGTGCCTGTGTTAAAAAAAAAATTAAATTAAAATAAAAAGAAGCAGAAACGAGTAGTAGAAGCATAAAGTGCAAAGCAGCTAAGAACCACGTTGAAAAAAGAAAATAAAAGAAAAGAGGAAGCTGAAGCTGAAGGAGTTAGAGGAGAGAAAGCAATTCAAATTATTAAAAATACACAAATTCTAATAATATTTTTGTGAGTGTCAAGCATAAAATAAAAAAATAAAAATATATAGAAACAGAAAAAGAAAACACAACCCGAGCGTAGCAGGAGGCCCCAACACATTCAGAGATCTACAGAGAGAGATAGATCTTCGCTCCATCGAGAGATCGGCACGACGACGACGACGAGGACGAGGACGCAAGGGACGCGGGCCCCTCGTTTTGTGTTGAGCCGCCAACTGTCGTCTGTACACCACTAAAAGTGGCACAAATCGGGTTAGACGTCGCTCCCAGAGCATTAATGGCTCAGCCTAGGGTAAGTACTAGAACTGCAATTAACCGTTAATTTCAAATTCAAAGTCTCAGCGTCAGAGTGCTAGTGAGAAAAATTGGTATATGAATATCTTTGATTTGGCGACGGCATTTTTTAGGCGACGGCTTTTTGAGCTGGGAAAACATTTTCACACTCTGTACAGATTTTCCACTCGGGTGTGTCGTAATATTAAAAAAAAAAAAAAAAAAAAAATCTGAATTTCGTGTGCTATAATTTCTGAAAAATTAATGTCAATTATTTGACAATTCAGTAAGAGCCATAATTATTTGTGAATATTCTCGAGCTCTCGAGACAAGTGAAGATTTGCCCAATTATAGTGAAAATGTTCGTATATTTTGTTTTGATTATTTTTGTTCCTTGCCGTCGGATTTTGGAATCGGCCTTACTGTACCTCTGCGCATATATTTTTATTAAGCATTTGATTGTGGCGTGACAAGATTTTTATAGATATACCAAGCTATAAAAAATTATAATTGCGGGAATTTTATCAACTTCATAATCTGAGTGTACACGTTAGTATTTAGGTATATGCATACATGTTTTCAGAGAGTTATTATCAAATCAAGTCTGCAAATTGTTTCATTTGTTTTTATTTGCTTGTAGTATTCGAGAGTTTTGGAAACTCGCAACAGAATGAATAATACTAATAAATAAATAAAATAAAATATGAGATAGATTTTAATAATTAAATAGAATAATATGTGATAAAAATAAAATATATATAGCATGTGCAATGGAAATAATCAAAATATGTAATGCAATAAAAGTAGAAATAGTATATAATTATAATTGTTAGATAGATGGTATTTTCTAGATACCTAGTCAAATTTATATAGAATATACTTAAATATGATAAAGTTATGAGATACGTAGTTAATAGAAATGGAACAAATATATAATAGAAGAAAGATACAGTAGAAATAGCAGGAATAGATAACCGAGATCTAAGATAGAATCGAAAATATATAATTAAAATATGAAATTCGAGGGAAGAAATTGTAAATAAACCTGATCACATTATAAGATATATAATAAGCAATCCATAAAATACATATATATAAAGAATATATTACAGAAATATTAGGAATATATAATAGTAAARGAAAGAATATATAATAGATATTTGAACATAACATATAATAGATATATTAAGAATACATAATAAAAGCAAATATTTTTTTTTATTATTTGTAATAGCTGTTTGAATTCATTTGAGAATCCCAGCTCTGAAAAATCATAAGATTTTTATCTGACTAAAGAAGTCTGTAAAAGATACATTTACAAATTTCAATTAACATTGATTTATTTACACATAACTTAAATAATAGAGTTAAATTTTGTGTATTGCAAAAGAAATTTCGATCTATTTATTTTGTTTTATGTTATTTGTATTATCATAATTTGCCGTGTAGCTCTGGCCAGAGATCAATAAATTATTTATCAGCTGACTGACCAACATACTTAACGCTCTTTTCTTATTTTCGGTTTTGTTTATTATTTATTTTTTGTATTTTTGCTATTTGTTATTTACCAACTTTATGAACTGATTAACATATGTGTGTGAAACGAACTTGATATTTCTATGGATCGTTAAATCGTTAGAAAATGTATAACAAAACGAGAGCAAATCAAACTCAATAAGCAAGTGTGTGTATGTGTGTGTGTGTGTATAGTTGATAATTAGTATATTGTGCGTGTGTGCGTGTGCTTGACACTGTCGCACATGGTTAAGGCACTTTGCTCTGCTAACGATATGCCATATAGCAAAAGTTTAAATCTTCGCGTTGATTTAAATATTTTAACTGCACTGCATGCGGTTCGGTTCGGGGTTCGGGGTTCGGGACTCAGAGTTCAATGCGTTGCGGTTCGCTGTTGGCTGGAATGACAGAAGATGTGAGCCGCTGTTCACATAAATTTACACTTGTGGTTTAATACGCCAAATTCTCTCGCTCTTTCTCTCTCTTTCTCTCTCGGTGTGTGAGTCTCTGATTCCAATTGCAACCAAAATGCCATTGGTGTGTGCGTGTATGTGTGTGTGTGTGTTTGATGTGATGCATATAATTTTATTGCACAGCATAGGCAGGCTGAGTACGGCCGGGCAGTGTACGGTGTGCGATGTACGACGGCCTGTCCGGCATTCATTGAGGGCAACACGCTGTGGTTTTATTATTTACAATTACGATTTCATTGCATTTCTTTGCGTTACGAATTCTTTTATATTTTTATAATTTACACTTAACAAGAAAAACAGAGCCAACATTTTTGATACACACATATACATTATAATTTGATTATCTGATGCCTATCGCAGTTAATGAAAAGCCAAAGAGAATAAAAAGATTACAGAATGCGAGCAGCGGCAATTGCAAATTGTTGTGCAGCTGCCACACACATACAGATACAGGCATTCACACTCACACAGCTGTAGTCGCCCCTCTGCATAGCTGCAACATTCAACATTCAGCACAAAAATTGTTTTGGTGTTATTTTAATTTAAAGGTTAACCGCAGCGTAATTTGTGGCATAAAATATAATTCGTCTAGTGTGCGCGCTGCTCTCGCACTGGCCACAGAATGAAAAAGTCAAGTAAAAATCAAAATACAAATGAAAATCAAAATAAAAATGCAAATGCAAATAAAAATAATAAAACTCAAATAAAAGTGCAACGATAGCAAATGGCATTCGCGTTCGACATTCGCCTCCGTTTGCCACAGTTGCAGTTCGCCATTTGCGTTTGGCTCTGCGGCTGCATTTTCGATTTGGCCTTAAATTGTTTTCAGTTTCTTTTTTTTGTAATTTTTTTTTTAGTGTCTTTTCGGTTTTGTGGGTTTTATAGTGCACAATTTTCCCATTTCTCACGAGTCTTGCCTATTGACAGTTTAACAGTTCACAGGCAGTTCGAGCTCCATAAATTGAAAGAAATCCAATAAACATGATATGGCAAATAGTTTACAAAATAAATATATAAACATTATATACAACAAATTTCTTTAAATTATTATAATACAATTTCAAGTATTTATAAAATAAATAAAGAATATCTTTATATTTAAAATATTTAACAAAAAGTTGAAAATAAATAAATTATTAATTGTTAGCTAAGCTCATGTATACATTTTTTAATTAAGAAGCAGACTGTATAAAGATTTGTAAAATTTTACAATTAGCTCAAACTAAACCACAAAATTCCAGGAAACATTACAAAAATCATAGAGTAAAACTTTGAAAGATAATAATATTTAAAGTGCAATGAATTCATTTTAAACATAAACATTTATTGTGCTGAGAATTCTCAAGACATTTCTTGAATCTTTACCTATGAGTAGGTATAAAATATTATTGTATATAGGTTAACCTAAAGTTAGATTTACAACTTAATTTAATTATATTTATATTCGACATTTTTTCTGCTTGTATCAAAATATACGTAGCAATAGATGTGTAAAGTTTTAATTGAATTTCCAAGTGAATGTTAAACTACTTAAGAGAAAAGATAAGTTAACTAGATAAGTTAGACTAGTAAAAATATCTACAGTTATATGACCGAAAGTTGGCTGAGAATTATTTGACGTTTGCCAGTTTTGATTCTCGTTACTTTCAACCCGAGTGATTCATAGAATCTGACGGAGAGAAAGACGAACTGTGACTTGGGAGACCGAGAAACACGCAGTCTCCAATGAGTCATGGGCGGATCTAAATTGAATCTTGAGCAGCTGAGTGGAATTTGAGCAAGGTTTACTTACCCTAGCATAGAAGCTTGTTCCTCAGGACTCTGGCGCACATTTAGTATAAACAAATTATACAATTTATATATGTATATGTATGTATGTATGTAGGTTGTTGTATATGCATATTTTTACCATATTCATAAGAGAAACAACGGCGACTGCATAAAAATTATGCGCTGCAGGCCACACTGAGCCTCCGACAGAGAACGGAACGACTCTGACAGTCTCCCGGTATTGGATACCCCATTCACATGGACTGCTCTGGGCTCCTCCACTCTCGATAGCTTCTCCTGTGGCAGTGTTTGGGGTTTTATTTTTTTCGTGTGCTAAAGAGCTTCATGTTTAATGATCAAATTGCGTGCCTCGTTTGGTGCCTGTTGGTGCGTTGTTGTTGCTGTTGTTGTTGTTGTTGTAGCTGCTGCTGCTGTTAGTAGTTGTTGCCAAGAGGCCATTGGAAGTGTTTTCATTAGTTTCATTTCTTTTTACATTTGCGCTCAAATCGTCTTTAATTTTCGTTCGCTTACAAATATTTCGCACAATGTAATTTCCCCCAACATTAGCGCTAAGCGAGCGTTAATTTTCGGCAAGTTAAGTGAATTCCATTACATCTGTTTGACTTACGCGCTGGCCAAAAGCGAGATGTGTACTATAAACTAACTGATACAAGCTGCCGTTGGGCTGGCTTGGTGTGGGCCAAAGCAACGAAAAGACGTGGAAAATCATTTAGACAAGTTGCACGCCGCTCATTAAATTAAATGAGCCATCAGCACGCAATTTATTTTAGTATTTTTTCTTTACTTTTTTTTTTTTTTTTTTTTTTTTTTTTTTTGAGTAACTTTTGCCATGCCAGACGCAGACGCAGACGCAGACGCGGACGTAAACGCAGCTACTTCACAGTTTTGCCATAGCTTCACTCCGTACATAGCTCCCTCGTCTCTGCTCCTCAGCTGCTTCTTTAGTTCTTTCAAGCCAATTTAATTAAATAGACACCGCGCGCTGCTTAAAAAATTTGATAGAAAATGTGAGATAATATTAAAAGTTGTTTTTAAATTTATAGACATACTTATACCTATGCATACATATATATATATATATTTAGAAATTAATACAATGTATAGACGGACAGATACTAAAATGCCTTGAAAACGTGTCTGAAAGCGGCAAAATGTTTAATGATATTCCAAATATTCAAATTCATATGAGATTCGTCGGCTTGTATTTGGTTCATTTCATATGTATTTATGCATAAATTAGTTAAAAGCAAAATGACTAATCTAATTTGTAGATTTTGTTTTGTTTTTTTTTTTAAGTTTAACAACAATTTGGATGTTTATTTTCATTATTACTTGTTATTAATAAATACAAGCCAAAGATATTAAATTGGTTATATTTATATTTCTGTTTAATCCCAGACGTACTTAGGATATTTGAAATGCTAATTCCTAGAATTTCAATTAACTTTGATTTTTGGTCTGGTCGAGCTTATGACAGGTTCGAAAATTGCGCTAGCTATTATATTAAAAATTTTAAAAGTATTTTTGGCACTGCTTTTTATTTAATAAATGCTCGCACTGACGTCATTTGTTGTTCTTGTTGTTGCTTTATTTATTTTGTTTGTCTCTTGGACAAATGTTAAAGCAAGAAAAATGTTTGCTTGCTGTCGCGTTGTTATTTGCGTAGTCGTTGCTTTAAATTTAGCTGCCGATCGTGTGATATATAGTATAACTACTATATATGAGCTTCAGACATTCGTTTCCCAGCATTAATTTAAACTTTTAAAATCATTTTAAATGAAATCGGCACGAAATAAAGTAAATTCGTCCGTAAGAGTTTGGAGAGAGCTTTGTATGTTATTATTTATTTTATTTTATTTTGTTATTTTAT